ACAAAGATGCATTGCACATACTGAGTCATCAGATATGTAAATATAGTTGGGCAGGAAAAAATACTTACATATTTACATGCCTCGGGTCTCTAGCGACCCTATACACTTTTTACAAAAAAATTAATCAGAAAACTGGCATTCATTAATATTTTACTATTTTTTTCTTGTCATATTGTTTATAATTAATAGATTGAGGAATACTAAGAAAGTTGATGTCTAACTTAAAAAAATGATTTTGTCTTTGTTGCTCTTAGTTATAAAGGATGGTAGCACAGCATTTTTTAATGATTGTCTTCATGAGTTTGTCTGCATCCATATTGCATGTTTCCTCTCACTTGCAAAGTATGCTTGCAGTTATTTCTTCTAGTTCTTTCAAAGCAGTTCTTTCTGCGTTTCCGCTCACATATTTTTAAATCTGTTTCATTGAGGTTCCAAATAATGTCTCATTGGCTTAGATATAACACCTAGAAGCATATAGCTATTCTTATGCACACATGCAAAGTATGTTGCAGCTGTTATTTCTATGAAATTATGTTGTCTTTGCTATTCTGTTACTAATAAAATTGTTTTTTTTTTACTGCTTGTCCTATTTTGGCACAATCCCTAAATTGAACTTGAGTAGTTTTACTAAGGGCACCCATCTCACATGAAATTGAACTGTCAAACATATTCTACCTGCCTTCCTGATATAAATTACTATGAATTTGATATGGTAATTAATACTGAGACACTCATTTGGGCAAAAAGCACTAATGACTTGTTTAAGACTTGAATCTTAAAGCTGAGGACTTGCAACTCGACTTGGACTTGCCTGTCTTGACTCGGGACTTGACTTGGGACTTGTCTGTCTTGACTCGGGACTTGAATGCAAACACTCGAGACTTACTTGTGACTTGCAAAACAATGACTTGGTCCCACCTCTGCTTGCTTGTCTTAAAATATCTTGACAATCAGCTCAAATAATTAATGCAGTAAAATCTACTACTTGTAAAACTTGTACATTTGTGTTTTTTTAATGCCACCAAGCTATCACATCTAAGTCAAAGAGTCTTGAAACTTCTGTCAGAATAGGACTCGTCACAGATGATATTTGCTGAAGGAAGCAGTGTTCTTAAAGGTCAGCAATATTTTAGAAAAATGGAAAGAATAAGAGGTGACTTTAAAATTTGGAATGAGGAATGAGAAAGGAATGAGCTGTTAATACTTAGGTTGTTGACAGACAAAATACTTGTCAGGAACTAAGGTAATAAATAACATTGACAGGTCAAGCTTAACTGAAACTGGTCTGATTGGTTTGTCTATGTGGTCATTATTAGGTTGGGGTCAGTATTTTTCTGAATAAAAACAAACATAAACAGCAATGAAACCCTAAAATGTTACATGTCATGCATGAATATTTCATATATATGTTAATGCCTCCTTAGGGCAGTGTGGTTGTTCTCCCCATACATTGTATTTACATCACTAAACCAAGATTTGCCTCATCTGGACTGTTTAAGTATTTCCTCTGGTTATAAATGTAAAGCACATTTAGGAACTAATCTAAAAGCATATAAATATATGTGTAATGTTTCTTGAGTTACAGGCATACAAAGTTTGGAATAAGAATATTTTTAGCACTCAGGTATGTTCAATTGTTTTAATAGAGAGAAAATGAAGATACATTTCTAATTTCTTTTTTATTTGTTTTTCAGACATTCTTCTTTAAACACGATATGTATCAACTGTGTGCATGCAAACTTTGAGACTTGAGTTACAGACATGCATAGTTTGGCACTTAGACAGGTATGTTCCATGCAGTTGTTTTGATAGAGGGAAAAAAGATAAAGAAACATTACTGGTATTCTATATCAGCAGTATAGAAAAATAACATTTGGTTTAAAGGGGTCATATGATGCGATTTCAATTTTTCCTTTCTCTTTGGAGTGTTACAAGCTCTTGGTGCATAAAGACGATCTGTAAAGTTGCAAAGACTAAAGTCTCAAATCCAAAGAGATATTCTTTATAAAAGTTAAGAGTCAACCACGCCTACCTAAAACGGCTCATTCTAACACGCACCCACATGTCTACGTCACGATGTTGGAAGATTTGCAGATTTTCCTGGTAGAGTAGACTACAATGCCGGCTGTTCTGACTCAAAGACTGTAAGTACGTTTTTTATATTTAAAGAGTTTTTATATTTTATATATCGTTTTTGTAGGCATTAAACTGCCAGAATTTTAAAAGACGATATCTCCGTTTGCATTGAACTTTCAGCTTCGTAACTTTGCAGATATTGTTTATGATTAAACAGCAACATTACACACTAACTAACGTTAAAAAAGTGAAATCGCAATCAACCACCCCTTTAAAAATCGACGCGTTTCAGAAAGGCGGGGCATAGAGGAGAAACAATAATGTACAGTATGTGGGAAATAATGTGTTTTTTGATCCTTAAACCGCATAAACACATTTCATTACACCAAATACACAAAATGATGTTCTTTTTAGCAACATCATATGATCCCTTTAACAGTTTATTCATGGAGCCATGAAATCCCTATATCTCTGGAAATGAACCATACAGGGCCTAAATAATTAAGATACCAAAAGAAAAGTTTTATTAAGAACCGAAATCTAAAAGGAGATTAAGATATATTTAGTCATTTTTGAGCTATAGGCATGCACTTGTATGTGGAAATATCAACTGACGATAGAAGACAGCGAGCTCAACACTGAAAAGGGGTGGAGCTACATAAGGTCTAAAGTGTTCGAAATATACATACATTTTTTTAAATGAAAATATAAAAAATAATTTACGATGTTGATGACCGTTACAACACGTCATCACAGTCTGTGAAAAGGGTACACTGGCAAGCAACAAAGATTTCTAAAGTCAACAGAAGTATTTCTGGCTCCAAATCTCATGTGAAAATTGTCATTTTGACCCCCTCCACAAAATACTGGAGTACTCTTTAAATATACAACATTTTGGCTTTTTTATTTTATTTTATTTTTATTTATTTATTTTATTGTAATGTATTTCTTTCACCAGGAAAAAAAAAGATCATCAAAATCAAAATTTTTAGCCAGGGACCTCTGGTTGAGATGACATGGAATGACCCTATGGAGTCTATAGAGACCAAAATTAATATAATTAACATTTTTTAGCTGTATGCCATATAGTATTTAGAAAAATTATGGAAATATTTTCTTCTTTTACTTTTATTAAAAGTTTGTTTCCCTAACAAATGCATTACCCAGCTGTAATATATACGTATATATATGTATATATATACAGTGGGTACGGAAAGTATTCAGACCCCCTTAAATTTTTCACTCTTTGTTATATTGCAGCCATTTGCTAAAATCATTTAAGTTAATTCCGTACCCACTGTATATATATATATATATATATATATATATATATATACACAGTATACTATATAATTTTATTTTATTTTTTTTTACTTTTAATCCACATCTGACCAATCAATAATGGGAGGCATGGGCTTTTTCATACTGTTTGTGTGTACATATATGTGTGTATTTTGGGGAAATTTGTACTAGCTGTATATAAAGACAAAGAATATAGAAGTCTATGAAATGTTCCTATTTAGATAGCTAAGTGTGTATGCGTGTTCTGTGGTAGACAAACAAGAATAGTTGATGTTGATGATGCTGATAACTATGTGTACATGATGGCCAGAGATAGTAGAGATGTGAGTATAGATGTTTATCTGATTTGGAGAAAGAGGTAATAGTACTGCTGGTAATGAAAATGATGTTGTGAAAATGATCAATTAGTGTCTGATGATTCAGCAGATGTGTGTTTGTTTCATAATGGGTCTGGTTTCTTTAAAAATCACTCTTTGGTCTTATCTTCCGGTCCCATTCACCATGCCACGTGACTTTAAACACTTCTGCTTCTGATCACCTCTGGGAAAACAACAGCTCGATATTTCCTTACCAGTGATGTTTATCAGTTACCTCTTACGTCCCATTCATGCGTCCGTCATGCCAGTGAGCATGTAGTGCAAGCATGAACAGCAGCAGCACGGCCAATGATAATGATCCTCATTGCTGACTTTCAGACAAACTGTAAGTGCTTTATCTGGTCGAACTAAAGGTCATGCATTCTTTCCATTAAAGAAGTTCTCAAAGTCATCCTAAAAAGAGATAAACAGGTTCATCAAAGGACTTTTAAGTAGAAAAAGGATGGCTGTTTTGTCATTAGAAAAGTGCTTTGTAACAAACAATATGTTAGTTTATATAATATTGTGACAATAAATACTTTAATTAAACATTATGCACAATAAGCTTATTTTTAAGGTTCAACATCATTTGTTTGCAGATGCCACTTGGTTTGATATTTCGTATATAATGCAATGAAACATTTTTATGTACAATATGCTATTTGGGGCCACTGTATTCATGTGTCTTTGAGAAATCTATTAATGAAATCAAATTAAACATCTAAACTGATTAAAAAGTAAAATAAATTACTAATGGAATGTAATGCGTATGTGCATTAAAATTCATAAGTCAGATTAAAAGATTCGATATATTACGTGTTGTAAAAACATCCTCTCTGAGTTTTCTAAAACATTGAACTGTACCACTCCTAGATTTACAGAATGGTGATGTTTTAGTGACACAGGACCATTTACTTTAAAAATATTTACATTCATAGCAGAAGTTTGACAGATTTTAGAAGCAATACAGTGCTCAAATAACTTCAGAGGCTGAGAATTCATGGCTGCTGTTGAACTATAGGCCTTAGTCACCAAAAAGAAGCTCCTAACAACTATATAGACCTCAAACAAAACGCAGCTGCTTTGATACTAAAGACATGATTTTTAATGTAAGAATACTCCAATTAAAAAGTTTCAAGCTTGAAGAGGTTAGCATGGCTGGATGTTCTGAGAGAGTAATAATAAAAAAAAATCCCTGTGTAAAACGACAGTCAACGCAGGGAAACGGACAAGATTTTTAAAAATCTTTTATTTGTATTTCATCCATTCAAGTTGCTGTTCTAAATCTTTTCATTGTGTTATGACATTAGCGTCTCTTCTGTTATACGCTTCCTTTTTCTCAAGAACATTATTGGTCTTGATTTCTTTTGACCACTAGGTGGTACTGTCCTAAAATTGTTTAAGTTCCCTCAGGGTATGATAGTAATGTCAGTTGCCAAGTTACGTTTGGGTAGGCCAATGCATTGCATTGCATATCTCATAATTATTTGTGCACAAAGCAATCAACAAGTGTTTTATATAGCCTACTTTTTTTTTATTAACAAATTACATCATATTTGAGAAATGAATCACAGCATTTGGAAGGATTGATGATTATGGTTGCAAAGCATTTAAGCAATAGGATGACATATAATTATATATATATAAAGTGTATATTATGCACCTGATTATACATACATTCCACCTTCAGGCTTTCAGGTAATACTTGCAAAATAAATAAATAAATAAAATAAGCTGCTTGCAGGTTCTTGATACACGTTTTTAAATTTTATAAAGTAACCAGCTAAGCCAAACACTATTTTGTTTGATTTTGTGGCTAATGAGAAGCTCAATATAGTGAATGTATAGTAACTCATCATTAGGCTATCAAACAGCACATAGCTAAACTCAGCTGCACTTGTGACATGTTATCCTTGGCCAGATGCAATGGTATTCCTTTTTCTCTTTAAATTGCTTTTTGATTTAATTCTGCTAAAAACTAAAGTTGAATTTGTGATGGATTAGCAGACCTGTGATGCATAGACTCTATAATAGCGGCTCTATTTTTGCTTTAGTGCGAAAACAATTCAGTTGTGATCCTCCATGGATGGGTGTGAGACGGGTTGTTCACGTTCACATTAATTTTGGTTTATTCTCATCATTTACACAAGCAAACTGATTTAGTCACATCTTTTGTGTCATTATTTTGTGTGTTTTTCTTCACCAACACACCGCACTCCATCAAGTAACATTGGTGTCCCGTGGTGGCGATCTGTGAAAAACAACAGGTCGTTTCTTATTTTAGTGGTGGTGATTTACTATTTACAAATTAGTTCTCTCTTAATGTTACTTAACAATTCTAACCCTCAAATTGAGCACATTTTGGCTTTGTTCTTGTATCTTACTACAAAATAAGAGGAGTATAAGTACTAAGTCAACTAATAAAAGCTCATGTCATTTACACAGTGTTTCTATTATTACAAATTCTGGTATTGTTTCTCAAGCTGGCTAGAAGGTTTAGAGATGTGGCTTATATTTTAATTTGGAGGGATACTCCACCCAAAAATGAAAAATCTCTCATCATTTACTCACCCTCATGCCGTTCCATATGTATTTTAATTTCTTGCTTCATATGAACACAAAATGAGATTTTTAAAAAAATTAATCCATCTCTGTGAGTCCATATAATGCAAGTGGATAGATCCCTTAAAATGACGCTTCACAAACCACACAAACGAACATAATTGTAATCCAAAGTTGAATCAATGTCTTTTGTAACAAAACAGTAGGTGTGTGGAAGAAAAAAATATTTTAAACTTTTTAAACTAAAAACCATTGCTTGCAGCCAACTGTGAACATCAGCGTATAACAGCACTTTGTGAAACTGAAGTGACAGTCCCGAAAATGGCGAACACACATATGAGAGTTGGCTGGTTTATAGTTTACAATATTAGAATTTTTCTCACACACACACACACACACACACACACCAATAGTTTGCTTCAGAAGACACTGATTCATCAACTGGAGGTTGTATGGATTACTGCCATGTTCATTTTGCATGGTTTTTGAAGCATTCTTTTGAGAGATCTATCCACTTGCATTATATGGACTCACAGAGATGGATTATTCTGCTGAAAATCTCAGTTTGTGTTCATCTAAAAAAACAAAGTCATATTCATTTGGGACAGATTGGGGATGCATAAATGAAGAGAAAAATTTAATTCTTCGGTGGACTATTCCTTTAATTTCATTTTTAAAAATACTTTCTCCCATCTTTCACCAAATACACAAAATAATGATCATTAAAAAAGCATCATATGACCCCTTTAATATTTTCTGTAAAACTGCTTTGAAACAACTGAACTGAACTGAATCAGTGACAGCAGAGACAGCTATACTGGTCCACATGATGGACAAAACATCACCTCATGAACGCTTTGTTATGAATGACTAGAGAGCTGTCACCAGTTGGTGTGTGTATCTCACCCATGACTCTGGCCTGTAATCGAACTCGGACGCTGCTGTCCCTTCTGCTCCTGTTGACCAGGGTGAGTTCCTCTTGCACCACTCCCTCCTGCTGAGCGCTGTACTCACAAACCACCCTCGCTCCCCCTTAAAAGAGCACAGACAGATGAATGGGAGTGAGTGGGATGAATACAGATACAGAGGGATACCAAGACAACACAAAATGTCATGGACAATAAAAAGATGAGTAAAAGAAAACGCCTGAGTGACCAGGATAAGATTGGAAGATTGAAATCATCGTAGAGAAACAATCACCTTACTGCAAAGTGCTTGCAGCTTCTTTTAGAATATAAATTGTACACTCAGATACGGCAAACCTACTAAGATTTCCCTAGAGATTCAAATGTGGGAAAAATGACACTACTATAAACGCGCTAAGTGAGTTTCAGCTAATGGAGAGATAAATGCCGGGCTGAAATAGGAGTGTGACTATTGATCCTAACATGACGTCTTGCATTTGGCTTGATGTTTTATCAGCAGTCAGATGTACAAGCAATCTTAGATCCACATTAACTGCTCTGATAGCGCTTCTGTTTTTACAGCCTTGTTTAATTGTATTAATTGTTACTGCTTAGTTTCATCATTCATTGAGTCAAGGAAGCCACATGTTTATAGATCTGGGCTGTTTTCTCAAAGGTTTCTTGTTCAATCCCAAGCAAGACTGAGATGGTTTCTCGGTCACAAGTATTGTTCATTAACCTTGTGATCCGGAGCAGAGCACTTAACCCAGGTTGCTCCAGTGAGACTCTCCTTGTAATAAGTCTACTGTAAGTAGCTTCAGCTGAAAAGCAACTGTTTAACTGCTGAACACCTCTTAATAGGGTGTATGTGAATAAATGAGAACACAAGGGTTGTAAGCAGACTTTGATAAGTGACATAGAAGACTATATGCATGGTAAAAGTTGGTCTAATTGTGCGTTCAAGTCCTCCTGGGAAATTGATATTTATGAGTTGGGAAGTCGTAATTACAATGTCAGGGGCGTTCAAATAACTTTGGGCGGAACAAGATGCCGATGTACCTTTTCTGCATAAAATTCAGTGGGATTTTTCTTGTTTTAAATAATTTAAAATAGTTTTTAATGTTTTATTCAATTTATGAAGGTCCTGTAAATTGAATCGCTATATATTCTATCGTAATTGCAAAATATACTATGGTGTTTTGTATATGTACATGTTTATATTATTTTGATGACATTTTGGAAAATAAAGTGTTCTTCATAAATGCTAGTTAGTCTATAAAATATAAAGAAATAACTATAAATACATCTGTAGGTTGCAATTCAAAAAATGGTTAGAAATATAATCTAATGTTTTTACCAAATGCATCTATGATAACATGTTTATGGGTAATTTTTGTATTTTCTATGTATTTTTAACATTCAAACATATTTAATAATATATTTATAAATATCAATTTTATATATATATATATATATATATATATATGTGGTATTTTGTATGGAAATGTAATAATTCATTTTCATTTAAAATAAGTTTCATGTACAAATTTCACATGCGTTCAACTAAATACGATCTTTCCAACTTTACTTATAAACACCATAAGACCAATGCAAAAACATACCATCAGGCCGTGGTGTGATGCGTGTTGCACGTAGTCGTGGTTTTGCAGTAGTGCGTAGTGCGGGGGAAAGAGAGACATCTTTCCCTAGTGTTGGGACTTGTGGCAAAGAAAAGATGATTTCATATTTGTGATGGCTCCTTAAAAATCCCACCTAGATACAGAGTTCCGCAGTCAACGATTTCAGCATGCAACACATCTATCTTATATACTGTTTGTTTTGGATTATTTTTAAGCATTTTTTTAAAAAGCGATTTCTTTCACCTTAACAAGATATGCGCCATCAGGCTCTGGTAGAGCAGTGATGACTTTATCCTGAAGCTTTTCATCACAGCTATTGTTAATGGGAGCATCTTCATCATCATCGGGGAAATGTACTGCACCTTTTGAAGTGGAGCCTGGCGAAGAGAAAACAAGGGTGGAGTTAAGATCACAGAGATGGATACTGGACCAGCAGATACATGCTGAGATGATTAATGCAGGCTGAACCCAGTGTGGGAGAGCTGTTAGAATATACACACTCTGGAAGTGTTAAGAGACAACGAGAAAGCATAAATGTATAAATATATAAAGCACATTATGTAAAAAATGTATACACACGCATATTCAGATAGACATTATGAGCACAGAAAAGACACTGACTTTTCCTTCCTGTTGCCATGTCAACATAAGGCCAGGGAAATCCAGGGATGATGACTGGCGTCAATTTGATATCATCTTTAAATAACAGACACTGAGTCAGAGAGAATGACCGCTGCAGAAGAACAGAAGATGCCTGTGAGTTATGTAATCTATGATCAGTTTGTAATGTCCTATACTGTCCTATTCCCTGATATATCGAATAATGTTTTAGACAGTATATAAAGAGATTTAAATTGCATGCAGGTTATTTACCCAACTTCTAAATTATTAATTGTCCATCCCCTGAGAATGATTTGCATTTCATTGACTTTGCAGCATACTCCCTGCTGGGTTAAACGCCACAGGATGGAGGTCCCCCACAACTGTAATGCTTTATTATCATCATTAGTTTGCAGTAATAACTGAGGTTAAAATGGCGAATCATCTGAGTAAGCATTCATGAGGCCTGTTATTAGGCCAAAACTCCATTCAGATGTTCCCTTATTTGCCCTCAAGTCAGTATTAGACTTTATACTGACATCATTCGGCATCGGTGTATGAATTGTGTTTGTTGCTGATGTTTCATACTGAAACTGATTAAGTTCTTATTACGTTTATTCGTTTTCAGTTATGTTTTTCTCTGCCTCATATTACACATATCCATATAATGGACATACTTGAATTCAGGCCCAACAATAAGCTGCATGAAAGAAAAGGTATATAAAAAATGTAACATAACATAAAAGGTATATAAAGTAAACACACTATTATTATTTTTATTATTATTTAAAGGCAGAGTAAGCGATTTCTGGTAGCCAATGTTGATATTTGAAATCACCAAAACAAACACGCCCCTACCCCAAAAGGGTCTTGCCCCTATTTTGATAGCTCCGCCCCACATATACGTACGCAACCCAGGCAACAATTAGTTCTGTGAAACAAAGCAAAACAAAGCAACCTCGGCATCCGATCGCAGGCCTCCACTCCTTGAGTTCTCTCCAGCTCTGGAAAGCTGATCCGATATTTACACGGGTCCTACTTCTTGCCTTATCGTTCCGCAGACGTTTTCCTCTTTTGTTTTTTATCCGCCATCTCTATCTTTCTGTCGCTCGGCTCAGCTAATGTCTGTCCCATGCACTGAAAGCTCTCTCCTCCACATCACGAGTAGACACGCCCATTATTGCTGATTGGCTACAAGTTTGTTTTGCTATTCGGCCCGAATCAGTTTTCTAAAGTGTTTTTGAAAAATCACATACCCTGCCTTTAAGCAACAATTGCAAGATGCTGGTCATGTGATCTCAACTGTGTGCACCTTTAAATAGCAGTTGACAAAATTGTTTTGGCAAATTATTGAATGAATCCTCCAAATTGCCAATTCCTAAGTAATATGTGCCATATGTAATCACATATGTGCACACTGTAATCTTAGTTTTTTTGTACTATAAATGATGTACTTGTGTGTAGAACTCTATGTACAAACCTGCAGAGAAGTAAACCTGTCCCTGATTTCCCCCCCCCTGTAGATTTATTTGTAGATCATGCACGCAGATGGGACTCCAGACACTAAGCAGCAATTTCACATGAAATTCTTTGACTTTAATCGGGGTCATTACGCCAGTTCAGTCAAGGTTATTTCAGAGAATGACACTCACATTCAAACTAAAGCGGCTTATAATACCGCGCTCTTCCCGACTGACTTGTTCTCAGCCTTTCTTCCAAAGCGCCCCTGCAAAATCACGTCAAATATGACGATAAGAAAAAAGCGGTTTATGCAACAATAATCGCTGAGATGGGCGATGCAAGTTATAAAGATGTATCTGTCTATAACAGATACATTATTACAGGCGGTCCCCGAGGAGTCCGCCTTTGCCGGATAAACAAAACCTTCGAAGGCAGTGCATCTCGAAGGCATCTCTCGTTCATAATTTATTAAAGTACAGCATGATGTGCTCTGTGTAAAAATGGGACAACACTGAGCGTCGCGTGCCAGTGTCCCGTTTGGCACCACTGACAGAAAAAAACTGCTCGATATTAAAAGAGTAAGTGGTTCAGCCAAAAATACGTAGCCTTCATTTTGTATAGATAATCATACCTCATGTTTGACTTGTCGTCTAATAGACAGAATTATAAATACATCTAAGGGAAAATGTCTTCTGAAGATTGCAATGCAGTTCATGCAGAACTATTTATTAACAGACTTTTGACAGAATTGTAGGCTTCTATTAATAGCTCCCACTTAAGAGAAAAAATAATTTTTGAAGTGAGGGTATCTTTAAAATGTGCGCGTGCACACAGACTATACACATATAGTTGAATATCAAAATAATTTAAATCTTAAATTCACTGAAAATCAAACTTACCTGTCTTGCGTCTACTGTACAGAAGCAGGTTTGTGGCGTTGCCTGAAGCGCTGTGCCATCAGTCCCCTCGAACGCAGCGTGTAGCGTGCAGCAGAGGTCTGACGCTGCGCGCGGTCACAAGAAAAGAGCCGCAGCCATTGGCCACTGATGGTTACTTAACGTCTAGCTCTCTTTTTCTACATCTCCCTCATTATATACAGTATACACGCAATGTGGAGGCAAGAGGTCCGGACCAGTGCCCCAGCAGAGCCCCCGACTATCATAGGCTTCGAGCTGGCTGAGCTAAGGACCACAGTGGCCTCACCCAGCACTGCAAATGTAAAACTGATATAGCCTAGAGATGAACAGTTCTTGAATGGATATATTAATGGAATGAAATGCAATAAATGGTCAACTTAAAATCAAAGATGCAATAAGCTGCTTTGATGAGAATGAAAGATATCACACTGCAAACATACATCAATTCAATGTTATAAGCCAACAGAGAAGTTGCAGGTGTTTAATAAAAAGTTGCTTCTAAAAATAAGAATTTTGAAACATAAAGTCGCAATTATGACGAAAGGCAAAATTACACACACACGCGCGCGCGCACGCACACACACACACGTACGTTTATAATGTACAAAACACATATTTGAATATTATACATTTTGCATATAATACATGCTTGGTCAAGCTAAATACTAATGGGTTATTTTACAATCAGATTTCCATCACCATCCAATGTTGTATTCAGTGTCAAAGAATCCCAAATTTCAATTTCAAGCCTTGGCAATCATTTGCGGTTCATAAATCTTATTACTGTTTTAGGTATATCAAATAATCTATAAGGATTAACTGTTTAATGTTTTGTTGAATATATATATATCTAAAATCATTAAGCCAATGAAATGATCACATGGATTGTAAATGAAAACCATATTAATTTTCATCATTTTGAATTAAATAATAAAGTAAACAAACTCTATGAGCAATATATTTGTTTCCATCTCACTGTTCTTTCATTTTTCAGTCAGCCAGCTTGGGTTAGCTGGATAGGCAGGATATATGATAAGGGGAGCCTCATTTTTGCCAGATTTGTTGGTGCATGGGCTGAAAAAAGGATATAAAGTCTCTGCAAAGGAGTCTGTGAAAGTAAATATCAGTGACTTTGTATCTGCATTATAAAATGACAATTGACCTTTTTCATAGTCCACATACACGCCGACACACTGTGGTTTTGTTTGTACAATTATAGGCACTGATGGTTCTGTACGAAAGACATACTCATGCTTGTCACGTAGACTTAGAAACCAAAATCCATTAGCTGGGTTTGCGGCTATTTTTCCTTTCCTGTTGATGGAGCGACTAGCAATGCCCAAATCCCAGTCCGTCTTCTCACCCACCACAACCTCCCAGTAATGGCAGCCAGAGCTGATACCTTGGCGGCCAAGTACACACACCACACGGTCAAACCGTTCAGTTGTGTCTGGCACCACCTGGTAGCGATCGCTGCAGTGCACCTGTTTACCATCCTCAGAGATGATCAGACGCGGATGGGCTGAGTCTTGATCTAGGGTCACGTCCACTGAGGAGAGAAACAGAACGCATTTGAAAAGCTATAAGGTGTTTGAAGGAATACAAATGTAAGTGATGACAAACATGTGATGTATCTAATGATGTGCAGCATATAGAAAACATCTCATACTTGCATATTCCTCCACTCTCCACACTTCTACAGAGGAACGCAGAAGAAAAATATTACTTTTAAAAAATTAAGCGGCTTTGTATAACAATTAGTACAATGAATCACTCCAATCATACACACAACCAGTCAAAAGGTTGGAGTGTTAAACAGCAAAAACTAATTTCAACAGTGATAATGATAAGAACCATTATTAATATTTGAGATGATTTCTGAAGGATCATGTTATACTGAAGATGGGAGTAATGGCTGCTGAAAATTCAGCTTAAATCATATTTATCATATAAATCATATATTTTAAGCTTTTTATTTTAAGATATATTACATTTAAAATTATTTTAAAATGTAATATATACAGTTTGTAATATATAAAACAACATTAGAGTTTTTACTGTATTTTTCATCAAATAAATTAATACAGCCTTTGTGAGCATAAGAGACTTCTTTCAAAAACATGGGGGAAAAAATCTCAATTATTCCACACTTTTGAATGGTAGTGTGTGTTGTTATAATATTATCAAGATATATGAAAACAGACACTTTTTCAAAACTCAAGATTTTTCAAAAAAACCTTCAGAATTTATTCTACTCTTGCATAAGACATAGTGCATTTGCACTTAATTTGTCATTTACAAATCATTTGACATACAATCCAATAATATTCATAGTCAATAATGCCTTTAAAGATTAAATTATAAGATAAGTATTAAATCTGGCTTTGAAAAGTGGACTATAACAGAGAAAATGAAGTTCTCTGTAGTGACCTTTATTTGTATAGCGCTTTATACAATATTGATTGGCATTAAAATTCTGTGCAATTTTTATGATTTAGCCCCTAGCACTGAAAACTGTGAGGGGAAGCTGAGATTGGACTGGACAGGGGAAAAGGAGGAGAAAAAACTTACTTTGTTGATATATTTCCTGTGGGTTTCCTGTGGAAGGGCGCAAACCTGACAGCACAACAATACATACCGTAAACATGACTGAAAAAACAGTGATGTGTGCATGCAAAGATCAAAATTCTGGTCTTAAAAACTCCTTGATTTTAAACAAATAATAATATGGTTGGTGAGGTGAAGCATCTGAAGTGCTCCTGAGTCAAAGATGCCATCATTCTGTTCACATTAACAATATTAAAACCCTATTCATTCGAAAGAATATACGAAAAAGAAAATTCTGTTTTTATTTACTTTCCAGTCAACAGGAAAAAGTCACATGGGTTTGGAACTGCAATGAGAGTGTATGTAAATGATGTGTTAAAGAGCAGTTCATGAAGGAACTTTCTCTTACAGATCGCTGACAGTCTCCTCAAGGCTTCCTGAACCTCCTCCACCATCTGAGTGACATTTCTCAGCACTGCTCCAGCAGTGGGGTCAGGGGTCAAGGCCACTTCTTCCCAGCTCTTTGTCACAGGTAAACTACAGTAGGCTGGATATGTCTGAAAAGAAACATCAGTAATATATATTTTGGTTAGATATTGGGGTATAAAATACAAAACAAACAATTTAAGCCTGGTTTTAAATGAGACCTTGAAGAAGGAAACTTGATCTTGGGACTGCGTCAGCTGATTGAGGGAGCTGCATCTATTTCTGAGTTCAGAGATCTCCGTCTGCAGCTCACGTATGAAGGCCTGAGAGCGAAGTTCTGCAGCCCGCTGTCCCATCTCCACCACCTCCAGAAGTTCAGCTTGGGACTTCTCAACAGCTTTCATTAACTCAGCAAACATACTCACAGTACCTGCTTTCTCTTGCTCTGCATTCACCTTAGAACAAGCAAATGAGACAAAGAAAATATAACAGACAATTAGGAGAATTAAGAGAATGAGGAAACCCTCATGTCTTTTCAAACCCATATGACATTCTTCTATGGAACAAGAATATTCACAAACCATGCAGCAACAGTTCTCTGGATCTTGACAGTTAGTCTCTAATGATGAAAAACACCATAAAAGCAGCCAATTTGGTCTTTGTGTAAAGAACAGAACTGAATTTAAGTCATTACTCACTGAAAATATTTGTGAATTTTGGCCTTCAGAAGACTAAATGTGCCATCACCTGTTTAGAGAATTTTCGCAGGCAAAATGCAGTCATTTCAATGGGAATCCACATGCTTTGGACATAATTCACGCATGAGGACATAAGATTTCCCTAAGCAGATTTTGCAACAAGTTTGGGATTCGCCACATTGACCATCAGACAGCTGTTTTGTTTGATAGTGACTTCTGTGTGAGCTGTGCTTTTTCAGACATCACTACTTCTAAGGGATAGTGGGATAGTTCACACACAAAAATAATAATTCTGCCATCATTTACTCACCCTCATGTTGTTCTAAACCTGTTGTTCTTCTGTTGAACACAAAAGAAGATATTTTGAAGAATGTTGGTAACCAAACAGTTGACAGTAGCCATTGACTATGGAAGTCAATGGCTATTGTCACCTGTTTGGTTACCAACATTCCTGCACATGAGTAAATAATGGGTAAATGACGACAGAATTATTTGGGCGAACTATTCCTTAACCCCCTACCGCATGGAGTTAAGCTGTAACAATAACAAAATTAATACTAGTGATATAATGTTGATTAGTCATATGTTAATTGCATTTGTATTATGGATATAATCAAATTGAAATGGCAATTTTACTTTTGATTAAATATGAATACAGGTAACATTACATCAGTGAGCATGGCCATATTCTATGGCAAGGTAAAGAAGAAGAGGGCAGAACTTGCTCTTCCTGCACATGAAAAAACTGCTTTGTGAAGTTTCATACATAAAAAAGGTGATCTTTCAAGGATTATTGGGGTTATATTGGGGTTATATTAACTGTATTAACTGTAAATGTGCAGTTTAAATAATATTCATGTTTTTTGTTGGAAAGAGAAGACCTTAGTTTAGCCAATGATGTGCTTCGATTAAGTCACATGACATGCTGTTTTTTTTCTGTGGCAGATTTCTGACAGACTGACCTCTCTTGTTGGTGGTTGCTGAAAGCAAACTAAAACGTCAGAAAACAAACAAGGACCAGTCCGTGTCACTTCTACTAAAAAATCTAAAACATCACTGTTATGATGTTATGATGACATATTCACATTGTATGCTGTTGCCGTATGGCAACATATCATAAAGTACCTTAAAATAATATTTTTTTCCAAATTTTTTTTTTTTTACAGCACTTCAAGTTAAGCCATTCTTAGAAAAGAAAAAGATTCAAATATTTTTTTCTATAGGTCTATCATAATGCGTGCGATAGAGGGTTGTGACAGAACCTTTAGAATATACAAGACTACTTTTATGTATTTTTTTCTATAGGTCTATCATAATGCGTGCGGTAGAGGGTTGTGACAGAACCTTTAGAATATACAAGACTACTTTTATGGTGTGTGTGTGTGTGTGTGTGTGTGTGTTTTCCCATTTGTAGAGCTTAGCAGATGTAGTCACTATGGGCAACCACTGTATAAAAATAGCCATATGAAGATTCTTCAAAAATTCTTCAGAAATTCTTTCTTTTTGTGTTCCACAAGACAAAAATAACAGCATATGGGTTTGGAACAACATGAAAATGAGTAAATAATGACAACATTTTTATTTTGGGTGAACTATAAACCCAATCTCACAGGAAAACGTGGTGATTTTGTATGCATTCATATGATGTGAATCACATGAAACATAAATTTTTTTTAAACTAAGCATTAAGATCCAGCCCTAAACATAATCATCACTGGGGTTTAAGCAGATCATATGAAAACATACAAATGAGATTCATACAAATTTTACGAATTCATACAAATTAGCCACCAATTCAACAAAACGTAAAATAGTTACGAATAGCCATGTGAGTGTGTTGGAACTATTCCTTTAAAATGTTAGTATGGCATAGATGCACATACTTGAATTTCTGCAAGTGATGTCTGGATCTCCTCTATCTTCCTCTCTCTGACTGTGATCAATCCTTGTAGCTCCACCTCCAAGATACGCAGCTGGGACTGAGCAGAGATTCAAATTGTTAACACGGACCCATACACAAATAAACACTTTCATTCAGCCCTACCTTGATATTACTTCTCATTCACGTACATTCTCACACTAACCTTCTTAATATTCATCTCTCTCTTGGCCTCTATCACAGAATGGCCGTAATGTTCCCTCTCTGCACATGTTACGCAAATACATGTCTGGTCAGTCTTGCAGAACAGCTCCAAACTATGCCCATGTCTGGGACACTGTGGCCCATTGGAACCCGCTCCACTCACACTAAAGTTTCGTTTAGGTGCCTTGGCAGGAGGGAGAGAAGCAGCATCATGGGATGCCAAAGGCTCACTGGATGATGTTCTTTGGAAGCGGCTCTTCATCTCTGGCAATAGGCCTCTGGGCAGCTCTACTGTCCTGTGCTGCACTCCGGGCTTCGGTGCAGAGAAAGGGAGGGACGGTGAATCTGCAGGTGCACTCCTAGGTGCACTCAACGTGATCTCCGCCATCCGTTTAAACTGTTCTGTGATCTCCTTAAGTGTGTGATTGATGTGGAGCTCAGGACGCTTGCGGAAGCTTTCCTTGCACAAAGGACAGAAGCAGCTTTTTCCCTGGCCCTCCCAGTAGGACGTGATGCATGATGAGCAGAAGCTGTGGCCGCAGGGTATGGAGACAGGATTGGTGAAGACATCTAAGCAAATAGAACAGGTAAACTGCTCCTCTGACAGGAATTCACCAGGTAATGACATTGTTTACCTGAAAGCATACAGACTAATTGAAAAACACAAAATACACAGGTGCACTTAAACACGTCAGTCATTGTTGCATAAATAACCACTATATAGATGTTTTTTTTAAAAGTGTTTCAACAATTATAAATTTGGATTAAATACATTTTACATTTATTTAAAAATTCATTTATTTAGATTGGATTGTTTCAAAGATTATAAATTGTTTACATTTTGGATTGTTTCAAAGATGATACATTTCAAAGATTGAAATTTGGAATAATTAAGATTTTTTTTTATGCTCACCAAGGTTGTTGTTATTTGATCAAAAATACAGTAAAAACTTTAAAATGTTGCTATATTTTAAAATAGAATTTATTCCTGTAATGGCAAAGCTGAATTTTCAGCAGCTGTTACTCCAGTCTTCAGTGTCACATGATCCTTCAGAAATCATTCTGATATGCTGATTTGATGTTCATTTTTATTAGTTATTATTGGAGTTCAGTTATTAATAATCACTATTAATGTTATCTATGTTAAAAACAGTTTTTCCTGCACAATAAAAAGGTGGCACTTTTTTTCAGGATTCTTTGATGAATAAAAAGTTCAAATGAACAGCATTTATTTAAAATAGCAATCTTTTGTAATACGATTAATGTCTTTACTGTCACTTTTGATCAATTTAATGTGTCCTTGCTGTTTTTTTAATCATAGTTACTCCAAACTTTTGAATGGTAAGTGTATCATGGTTTCTAGTTTCCACAAAAATATTAAGCAGTAAAAGTTTTCAACACTGATAATAATAATACATTTTTTCTTTTTTTAGCACTAAATCTTAGAATGATTTCTGAAGGATTTGAAAGTTCACACTGAAGACTGGAGTAATGGCTGCTGAAAATTCAGCTTTGCAATCACAGGAATAAATTACATTTTAAAATATATTTTAAAATAAACAGCCTTGGAGCACATAAGAGTCGTCATTCAAAAATTATTCCATATACTATATATAATAATTTCAGAAACTGGGGTTAAAAAGGGGACAGTTTTCAGTCATTCTAAACTACTGGTAACTGAAATGTTGGAATGAAGTCAGACCAGCTACACAGATACAACAAAGCTGATCTAGGAGCAGCCGTCTCACCCTTACATAATGTAAAACCCAATCTAACAAAACAGGCTGTCAGAAAACCCAAAAGCCAGAAAATACTCTGACATACTCACACAAATTAGTGATTAATCTCTCAAATGTAAATTAGCAGTAAAGTACAATCACATGCTTCATGAAACATCTTGTACTGTATAATTACACTGTAGGGCTGTTTCTGACAAATGTCTCTTATTAGGAGCATGTAAACAAAAATAATAACAGTAATAATACAAATGTTGTGTTTACAAAGTATTATGAATCACATGATATCAGTCAATTACTTGTCATCATTTATATAGAAAGGACAGGAAAACATAAAGTAGAGCCCAACCTCATAAACACCTTCATATAAACACACATACAGTATATGAGTATATAGAAATACAATCTAAAAGACAAATTCAATTTACTAACCTCTTCCTCTGTCCTTTTCTCTTCTCCAGAATTTTGATTTTTTTTTCGCCTGGGTTCTGTTCCACTCAGTATGTGGCATATAGGACACGTTCACTATGAAGTGGAGACCTCCAGGAAACAGGTGTGTCCGCATACCAACAGGCAAACATACAGTTAAGTTATTCAACGCACACACCTGGCTGCCAATCCAACCAGTCAGACAAGTGCAGATTTTTATTTTGAGAGATTTTAAGACTCTATTTTTCATTTACATTTTAAATGTTTTAATTTCGACTGACACATGCTGTCTCATAAGAACAGGGCAGCATGAGAAAAGGCAAACTGTGTGGCAAACATGTAAGAAAAGAAATATGAAAATAGAAAAGAATGTTTGTTTGTTGTTGAAAGACAAACAGAAATAAAATTAAGACAAGGAATTTGAATAGTTACATTGATATCTTGGACATATTTTTACCACAAAGACAGAAAAAGTAATTCTGTATGTAAAATCAAAAGTATTTGCAGGAGATCTGCTCTGAGGCAATAGTGTTAATTACAGGCCCTGATGACTTCTGGGAAGTCTGGGAAGTGTCGATTTTCATCATTAATAAAAAGGGACATTGTACATTGAACACAGTATGGCAGTTCAAATGGATAATTCAGTGAGAAATTTCAGTGTTAAATTTAAGGCCCCACTAATTTTTGCAATCTCCTGTCTAATTCTGAGACATAATAATGTGGATTGGTGATAGTGGTATTGTTCGGTTTTGTTAAATGATCTTTTGATCTCTTTAGTGTGACTTTCATTAGTGCTGATGTCGTGACATAATAATTGAGAGCTTTTATGTGTCTGTCACTGCCTTAGGCCTACTTTTACACTTTCAGCCCTGACACAAATCAGCACTTCTTAAGTAGAGGTGACAAGCACATTAGGAACATAATGTGAAATATACCATTTTAAGATTTCATTGTGAAAAAGAAAGAAACAGAATTAAAACAAATGGACTCTTTTCACAGACTGTGATGACGCATTTCCACAGTTAACACACACATTTAAAAAACTTTTGTGTTTTCTTGTCTTGGCATTCAATTACATAAATCTAGTTAATGCTGCTGTGTGAGTGTTTCTAATACAAAGGCTGAGGGAGTGATGGCAAATTTGACATTTTTCTTTCTTGTGACCAATGTAATCAACCTCTCAGTATTTTTTTCACTTTTGGAAAGTCATAATATATATATATATATATATATATATATATGTGTGTGTGTGTGTGTGTCGTTTCCATTCAGCACTTCAATCAACTATGATGCCATCTGCTTCTAAGAAACCCAGATAATGTCAAAAGGGTCCAGATGAGGGGATTCTTGATGCCAAAATAATAATTAATAAAAAAGGGCCTACAAATATGTGGTTACACAGGATAACAAAAACCACATACGAAACCAAAATTTGGCTGATTAAAAAAACCTTAGAATTCAGTTAATTGTAGTTGTGTATGTGTGCCGCTTTGTGCTGAAATTAAAACTCAAACTTCACATAAAAGACTAGACTATTTAAGACCTTTATGTTGTGGAGCATTCATTTATTTTATTATGGGTTTCATTTGGAATTGTATATTGACTTTTTATTAGGCTATATTATTAACAGTACTGGGACCTTTATTTTTATTTATGTCACTTTGTGTAGCCTATTGGTGCTTTGGTAATATTGTTTTCGAAACATGCATGCCAATAAGTGCCCTACTTCAAAAGAACGAAAGACTAATATAACGCAAGGCTACCTATGTCTAGTAGGCTACCTCGGGTCTTGTGTCCTTGATGTCTGCGAAGGTGTCTGTAACATTTGGTTTCACACCTGATAAAGCAAACGCCGCTTGCACAGACCTTGCATTTGTCCTGCGACCCTCCGCATTGAGAACATGCGCTCCGCTCATTTCATTTTATTTTTTACCTTACAAATGCAGGTATTCGGAATCTTCTTTCAGTCACGTTTTGCTAAAAGGTTTGAGTCGCATCCCACAAATGGATCTCGTGAAATTTCACTACCCGATCCAAAAGGGGGCAGCAGGATTGGACATCTGAGAAGGGCGGCGAGGTTGGGAAATGTGACTCAAGAAAATCCAAACGAACTTTTGCGTATAAGCTTGCAGAACAATGGTAAGATCTCCAACCCAGCCGTGAGTTTAGCTCACAGGTCATCCTCTACAAACGCGAAAGGATTCTGGAATCAGTTCATGTTTCGTGGAAAATCAGACTTCAGATTCGTGCTGCCAATTAGGAACGTCGAGGTCCGTCAAGAGAAGTGTCGCGCGCTCACTTTCTCCCAGGTACGGACACTGTCTGTGGGCAGGGGATTTCAATGTTAGTTTATGGATTTTTTTTATACTGCACAAACAATGTTTTATTTTGTAAATGTAAAACAGCATTTTGTATTTCACAGAGGATCTTCCATGAAAACTGTGAAACGTTGGAGCTCCAGAACAACGTGTGTTTCGGAAAATGTTACACGGCGTCCTCTAGTGGGGATGAAGGAGGCTTATTTCCTTGTTCTGTCTGCTCACCGGTTATCATCACTTCCAAGACTGTGAAACTAAAATGCACTGACAACACAGAAATGATCAAAATTGTAAAAATAATAGAGGACTGTCAATGCAAAACAAAAGAAGGACAACATTCACATCAAAACGGTCCCGTGCTGGTTGATCCAAGCATTCATCAGTACCCTCGAAAGCGATAAAATAATAATTAATGATGACATTTATTGCCTATTATTTTGCTCTAGTCAGTGTGCATGCAGTGGGTGAATACAGAAAGTTACTATCATAGCTAGAACAAAATGTAAATAAAATAAAATTAATAAAATAAAAAGCGAACTGTTTGTGTGTGAAGTGCCTTTGCTACATTGTTGTTTCTGGTTGCTGCTGAATAGTAAATATTTGATGTAAACATATCTTTACATCGGCTGTGCATGTCATAAACCGTTGTATTTGAGCACTGGAAATTCAAAAACTATAACCTGAAGATGAGTTCATAAAAAAAAGAAAAAAAGTGTAAACATTTCAGGGGAACAAATACAACTGTTAGCTCGGACAGATATAGTGCTATAAAGGTAACTAATAAAAATTATTTAGCATAACGTATATATTCAGTTCAATATTGAAACAATATTTAAATAGTAATACATTACTTTTATGTGCTTTATGAAAATCATCATCAATAACTTACTAACATGCCCGTTTTAACATCTTCTATGTTTCTATTTTTTATGAAAAATATTTATATATTCATAGTTTTGTCGTGTAGCCTGGTAAAAACACCATTTTCCTGTAAAACTGTACTGGGCGCATGCCAGAGCCGTTTCTATGGCTCTGGCGCATGCTATTTCAAACGACAAAACATATTCTCGCGATAACCTGAAAGTCTATGTGAGACTACGAGTCGGATATCCGGTCTCTTTTCGGTGGTGGACTCCGGGCGAGAAAGTCCTCCATAATGAAGGTAGGGTGACTGAAAAAGCTATTTTATACGTTTTATATTTCACAATGTGCTGGAAATATCGAATGAGTTCCATTTTACAGTCTCAAAACAATCCGATGAACTTTTGTTAATCGAGTTAGGCCCAAACAGTTTGAGGGATGGATGTTGATTTTGTTACGTTAGCAGCACGGGTGGAAGTGCGGCAACATGGCAGCGCCCGCAATAAACATGCAGTGAGCACATTAGAAAATTCTTGCGAGCTACGGTTAATTAGTCAACTTCGTCGCCATTGTTGTAGCTGTAATAACGTTAGGACACGTTCTAGCAGACTGGTATTGAGTGTCAAACTATCATCCGCTGCTGTCGCATTAGCGCCTGATTAGCTAGTAGAGACGTGTCCGATGAAGACCTCGCAATTTTATGGTGCGTTCAAGTCATGTCGGATAGAGCGTAGTTATGCAGACCCTGTTGTATTTTCTTGTAATTTATTAAAAGAAAGTACACCGCCATCTTGTGCCGACTAAAATGACTTGAACGCACCTGACGTCGTAATTACGACTTGTCAACTCGCAAGTACGAACCTCCCAGGAGGACTTGAACGCGGCATTATTTTCCCCCGGGGTTGTAAATCACAGTTATAACTACAGCACACAACTTAATTATCTTGTCTTTTTTTTTTTGCTTGTCCGACTAGCTCAATATCTCATTCCCCGCCACTGGCTGCCAAAAGCTGATAGAAGTTGATGATGAGCGCAAACTAAGGATCTTCTATGAGAAGCGCATGGCCACAGAGGTGGCAGCAGACTCTCTGGGTGATGAGTGGAAGGTAAGTAATTACAACTTGAATCATCCCGACCTTTATGTGTGTGCATTTCCAGCATTTTAATGTTTCATGTGAAGCAGAAAAGTCTTGACACTTCAAGTCTTGATTACTCTGGTTCCCTTTGACCAGTGCCTTCAGTTTAAGACTGAAGATATTGAAATACACTAAAGGATTTTTAAAATCTGAATGGATTTTAAACACTAGGCATCATAGTCTTGCTAACTTTGAAAATGGTTACAGAAAAAAAGCTGGACATCACACGCTAATCCAGTGGTTCTCAATTCCAGTCCCCGCGACCCTCCGCTCTGCACATTTTGTAGTGGACGTTTTCACAGGATATTCCGTTATGATTCCATTTTGAAGGGAGTGTATGTGTTCCATTCAAAGGGCATTAAAGTGTGCGAGATTTAAATTGTATTTATTTTTCAAAGGTATATTATGTCACACTTAATAGTAGTAAGTTTCTTCTGTGTGTGAAGACTCTGCAGGCCATGGTGTAGCGCAAATCCGTGAATGTTCTTTAGTGAAGTAAACTTCAACGAATTTCCCGTGCTCGGGGAGTAGGGAGCAATGAACACTGTGTAGGGACCCTGTCAATTGAAACACAGTTCATCTATGGAGCTCTCTTCTAACGAGCTGATTATCTGAATCAGGTGTGTTAAACAAGAGAGACATGCAAAATATACAGAGCCGGGGTCGTGAGGACTGGGATTGAGAACCACTGCACCAAATGACTGATCTCACACTTTCAAGTCATTCCAAATGCAACAAATTAATGCATTAACTTGACAAACGAAAACAATATATTTTAAAATCGGCTGAAAATACCAAACATGCTTGGTATCTTCTAATTGGATGAAATCATAGTCTGAAGCTAAAAAAAAAAATCTGTGCCTTTAATACACTATGCAGTTTACTGTGAAATGTCAACTTGGATTGCCCCAAATCTGCAGACTTGCTTGAACTTCTGTAAACTAGCAATGATTCGTTGACTGCAAAAGTGTATTCAATCCTTAAAATCGACTCAAAATATCTAACGTGTTTGAAGTCCTCCAGTAGAGTGGAATCTCAGTCAAAAGCTGCCTAATGAGCTTTATTTATTTTTGTGGCACACTAGCAGTTCCTTTTTGGCTGATCAGTAGCTTAAAAGGAGGGACAGTGTGGTGCCAAAAGCAACAGTGGAGCTGCTATCCGGATAACAACCTGTTCATGTTATTAGTGGCTAGTTGTATTGCATCGCTCTGTCAAACTTTCTGCAGTGCATTGTTTAGGTGCTTTATGCAAAGGTGTCCAAATTTCTTCAAATTGTTTTAATTGGGGCTTTTAGTCAAAGTTTACTTATTTCATGCTCTTTCTGTTAAATCTGGCTCAGACTTTCGTCCAGATTGTTCTGGAGAAAAGTCGTGTAGTGTCCGGCCTTAAAATGGCTCAAAATATCAAGCTTGTTTGATGTCCTCCGATTAAACGGAATCATAGTCCGAAGCTCTGTTCTCATTATACACTACATGATTTTCTGTGAAATCTATGAACTCTTGACTGCCCAAAATCTGCAGCTGCTTTTGACTTTAGGCAACTAGCACCGACTCCTCCAGAGTACAATTTGGGGCAAAAGTCATGTAGTGTATTCCACATTTAAGTGGACTTGACAACTGTAATATTCACCATGCTGCACTTGTAACTTAAAAACTTCTTCAAACTGACATTAAAATTGGCACAACTGTGTTTATCTTGTAGGGCTATGTTGTGCGCATCAGCGGAGGCAATGACAAACAGGGCTTCCCCATGAAGCAGGGTGTGTTGACCCATGGACGTGTGCGTCTCCTCCTCAGCAAGGGTCACTCCTGTTACCGCCCTCGCCGTACTGGTGAGCGTAAACGCAAGTCTGTCCGCGGCTGCATCGTTGATGCCAACCTCAGCGATCTCAACTTGGTCATTATCAGGAAGATGCCAACCTCAGCGTTCTCAACTTGGTCATTATCAGGAAGGGTGAGTATAGTTAGAAGTTTTAATTTAATATGTGTTGTTATTCAGATTGTGGATCCACTTTGTTTTAAAGGGATAGATGCCATATTAAATTGAACACAAATGAAAATTCCATCGAGCCTCTGTGATTGACTTCCTTTTGCAGAACACAAAAGACGATATTTTGCAAAATGTTGGTTACCAAACAGTTTCCAGTCCCATTGGCACTTACTGTATGGTCAAAAAATATAACTGAAGTCAATGGGATCCGAAACTGGGATGAGTAATAGCAGAATTTTCATTTTAAGATCCATTTCATTAATAGTGCAAATGAACTTATGATTCATAGATGGCACACCAGCAGACCCTTTCTGGTTGGATGGTAACCTCAAAGGGGGGACAGTGTGGTGCCTACAGCAACAGTGGAGCTGCTAACGGATAACGACCTGATCATGTTCTTAGTGGCTGGTTGTACTGCATTGCTCTGCCAAAATTATTGCTTTGCATATTGTTTGTAAATGGGAGCAGGTACTCCAGGCTAGTGTTATGCGATAGAAACGGTCAAGCTGGTATCTTGAATGTCTACACCTTGAGTGGCCTGTTCCATAGCATCTGTCTGATAGACTTTCTTCTCCTTCAGGTGAGAAGGACATTCCTGGGCTGACTGATAGCACTGTCCCTCGCCGCCTGGGACCCAAGAGGGCTAGCAGGATCCGCAAGCTCTTCAACCTGTCCAAAGAGGATGATGTCAGGCAGTATGTGGTCAGGAGACCCCTGACTAAGGAAGGTATGACTGCTTATGCTCAGTATTTCTCATAATGTGTTGAGTAAATATTGCGTCATGAGATTGAGCCTACTATCTTGACTTAAGTCACAATAGTTATGTTACTGGTTGCTGAAAGAGCCATATTTATTACTAATTTTAAAAAATGCATGATTTATATGAATTTTTTTGCGGCACATCGGAGGCCCTTTTTGACTGATCAGTAGCTTAAAGGGGGGGGGGGTCACTGGGGTACCAACAGGAACAGTGGAGCTGCTAACCGGATAACAACCCCATTCATATGATGAGTGGCTGGTTGTACTGAATTGCTCTGTCGAACTCTATGTAGTGCATAGTTTGCAGAACTGGGATAAGGTCTTATATGCATTAAAAGGTGTCCAAATTTATTTAACTTTTTGTGATGCTGCACTTTCTATTGATAAATAACATAAGCTGGAGGGAAAACATTCTAGAGTGATGTTTGTTTGGAAATGCAGGCTTTTTAGATTTGTTGTACATAAATAGTTGGGTCCCTAGCATGATTTCAAACCAGGTCTTTAATATGGTGGTTATGTTCTGCTGTTTGTACTGTCACAAGTGGCTTCTCACCTTGTATTTAATATCATGTCGACTCGATTTTTTGCCTTCATCTAGTTTATCTATAAAACTATGGACCATAAGGGTTTTAAATGTATCCAGAGACTGACCAGGCTCTTTCTGACAGGTAAGAAGCCCAGGACTAAGGCCCCTAAGATTCAGCGACTGGTTACACCACGTGTGTTGCAGCACAAGCGCAGACGCGTTGCTCTCAAGAAGCAGCGCACACTGAAGAACAAGGAGGAGGCTGCAGAATACACCAAACTGCTGGCCAAGAGGATGAAGGTACGTGGCTGCTGTTTTTGTTTAGTGAAGAGTCTAATTGATGGTGTCTTCCTGCAATTTAACCTAGCTATGTGAATAAAGTTTTGTTGACTTCTGAAAAAGAAATGCCTCAATTGAATCTTTATTACTGAAAAAGCTCATGTTGTATGTTGTAAAAGCTGAATATCAGTGTTCTTTTTATAGGAGGCCAAGGAGAAACGTCAAGAAAAGGTTGCCAAGAGACGCCGTCTCTCCTCTCTGAGAGCCTCCACATCCAAGTCCGAGTCAAGCCAGAAGTGAGACATGTACCTCACAAATAAAACATGATTTTGTTTAACATTCTAAATGGTGTCGTTTTTTTTATTTTTTTTTATTGACCTGTTGTAAGGTAGTGCGTTTGTAATAAGTTGAATTTTGTTAGGAGATTTGTTTTGGCCATTGTACAATTATTTTGCAGCTGTAAGGTAAGACGTTAAGGTTTGTCAATCAAGATGACTTTAGTCAAGTGTCTACACCTTTCTAACCAGTAGTTTTAAATTAATCATAAGTCTCAATGGGTTTCATGTGAAGATTCTGTTAAAAAGTTCAGATCTAACCTAGATTACCAAAATGTCAAAAAAAGGTAACTGGTTTCAAGCTCAAACACTAAGGAGAAACACTTGCATGTAGAACACTTTTTCTGGTCAGTTCTAAGTAATTTCAGACCAATTTCTAACCTTCCTTTTGTATCTAAGGTCCTAGAAAAGGTGGTCGCCAAACAATTACAGACTCACTTGGATAAAAATAATCTGTATGAATCATTTCAGTCCGGATTTCGCCCTCTCCATAGTACAGAAACTGCCCTTCTAAGAGTAGTGAATGACCTCCACCTTGCTTCTGATTCGGGTGCCCTCAGCCTTCTGGTTCTTTTAGACCTGAGTGTAGCTTTTGATACTGTTTGCCATTCTGTACTCCTATCTCGTTTGTCGGAGATTGGTATTACTGATACTGTCTTACAGTGGCTGGGTTCATATCTCTCAGACAGGCAACAGTTCATTAGCATTGATAAATCCAAATCTCATTCTGTCACTTTTTCTCTTGGAGTGCCTCAAGGATCTGTCCTTGATCCACTTCTATTCTTAATCTATATGCTTCCTCTGGGTCAGATCATCCGGCGCCATGGTCTAAATTTCCACAGTTACGCTGATGATTTACCATACAGCCCAATTCTGTTTTCCCCCCCTTCTTCTTTTACATCTTGCTTGCATGATCTCAAAGTATGGATGGCACAAAATTTCTTAAAGTTAAATACTGAAAAAACTGAATTTCTGTTAGTTGACCCTAGATCCCTTGTCTCCTCCCGACCTGACTACTCCATTAACATTGACGGAGTTATAGTTCATCCTTCCTCCACTATACACAATCTTGGTATAATGTTTGATTCTAGTCTACGTTTTGAATCCCACATCAATCAGCTAGTCAAATCCTGTTTTTTTCACCTTCGTAATATTGTCCGCCTACGACCATCTTTAAAATTCAAAGATGCTGAAACTGTTGTTCATGCGTTTATTACGTAGCGTCTGGATTACTGTAACTCCTTGTTTTATGGCCTACCCAACAAAGTCCTTAGTCGCTGGCAGTTTATCCAAAATTCAGCTGCTCGTGTTCTTACATTTACCAAAAAATATGCCCACATCACTCCGGTTTTACAGCAATTACATTAGCTCCCTGTCACCTATCGTATTCAGTTTAAGATTCTTGTTTTAGTTTTTAAGGCCCGTCATGGGTTTGCACCTTCTTACCTTTCTGAATTAATTCTCCCCTATGTCCCTGCCCGTACTTTGAGATCGAGCTCTGAAAATTTGCTTGCAGTACCCAAATTCCAGCTATCTAGTGTGGGTGGTAGGGCTTTCTGCATTTCCGCTGCCAAGCTCTGGAATAAACTACCACAAGATCTCCGTGTTATCTCTTCACTCCAGACCTTTAAAACTGCTCTCAAAACTCACCTATTCACAATGTTTCTTAATTAATTGCTTGCCTTAATTTTCTGTTCTATGCTTTTGTAACTTATCTTGTATATTGCATATTATTTCACCTCTGTCTGCTGTTTGGCTGTTTAT